TTTATTAATAAATAAGAAAAAATTATACGTAGTATGAAAAAATAGCTAAAATGATTTTCAACAGTAACTTCATCAAATAAAGTCAAAACAGTAAATTCAACTTTACTTTTTCTTATTATTACACAATTCAGCGCATGAAATCAAAGTTACATGTTTAGTGAAAAACTTGGATGATAAGTTTGATAAGCCGAAAAACAGGGTCACCGAACGGGCACTCAAACTTGTTTAAACAGCAAATTTTCTAAATAAAACTAACAAAGTTAGGAATTTAAAAACAAGAGCGATATATTTTTTCTAAATATGAGTATATTATTGTTATCTTAAGAATTTTCTGCTATATCTTGACATTATCAGGTTAGAAACATTGTACTCCGTAGTATATTGTCACCAGTGACACTATTTAGGGGTGGACCGGTTCCGGTTCGGGCCCGGTTCAGGCCTAGGCCTGGCCGGGCCTCAGTTCATGAAGGGGAGGCCCGGAACAGGCCCGGGTAACCCCCGGGTCCGGGCCGGGCCGGGCCTCGGTTCTATTTTTTTTTTTTTGGCTTTTCCTAATTAACCCCCAACCCTCCCCCTCACCCCCAAACCAATCCTAACCACCTCAAATGGCCAAAAATACCCAACCCAACCCAAAAACTTAAAAAAAAATCAAAAAAAAATAATAAATTGGCCCGGCCCGGGCCCGAACCGGCAGGGCCGGTTCACCTTTTGAAGGGCCCGAGCCCGAACCGCCATCCCACCGGGCCGGTCCGGTTCCAGGCCGGTTGGCCCGGCCCGAGTCCACTCCTAACACTATTTACCAAACATGGATGTGATTACTCTAATAAATACATAGCATCATATTTCCAAATTATCCTACCTTATTACTCTTATACACCTATTTAGTGTTTAGGGATTTTTTAAATATGATTTGTAATAAAAGCATGTAAAAAAAGTATGAAGACAAATAGACAATTGTTGGTCTTTTCTCGATGAAGATAATAATGTAATAATTAAGGTTCTCCATCTAATATTTTATAACTCTGTTTTATTATAAATATAAGGTCAAGGCACCCAATAGGGTAAGGCATTATTCCCAATCATTATTCTCGTATATGGTATCAGACTTAGCCTAGGGTTTTACGTCGTTCTCCCATGAACGGCTGTACTCCTCCCGCCGTATCCACGCAGGTGTCCTCCCAGGTGCAGCCGCAACCTCCTTTCACGGAATCTCAGGCGCCCACTCAACTGGTGCAGCCAATGTTCAGCGACATCAGCCACGTCACAGGGCCCTTCTCCTCCTTCGATGTCGGCTCCAGCAGTGTCGTTCCAGCAGTAACGACATCAGCCAATGTTGCGCAGACCACAGGCTCTCCGCTTGCAGCATCTCTTCGGCACATGCTTCTAGCACTTCCATCCTTTTGATTCGTACTGATTGTTCAACGCACCAGAACACTTCCCATGGATGCCCACAACTTCTCTGCCACCGCCTCCGCTTATGCCACCAATCCTCTCTGACGTCGGGGCTACGTCTGCACCCTTCTCCGGACCGACTCTCTCTGGCCAGCCGGGAACCAGCCCTCTGCCGCAGCCCATACCTTCCGTAGTCTCATGTTCTATTAATCCTTCGACTTCTTTAGCTACTTTATCGTTACAATTGGTATTTTCCACACCAAATGTGACTAATATTGTTACCACTCGGCTGTCTAATGTGGAAGATTATTTACCGTGGCGTACCCAATTTGAGTCATTCTTGGTCTCCCATACTCTCCTTGGGATCGTGGATGGCTCAATTCGGGTACCGTCCCCTACGGTCATGGATATCACCAGACGTGAAGTACCTAATTCGGATTATCATCATTGGCTGAAAATAGATCAAACGGTTAGGTCTTGGCTTTTTGCTACTCTTGCTAGGGACATTTTGATGGAAGTGTATGATTTAAAATTTTCTCATCTAATTTGGGAACGCCTTGAGACCCATTTTATGTCTGCCTGTTTTGCTCGGTCTATTGAACTTAAACGGTCCTTATCTCATGTTAAAAAGAAAGATTCCCAAACTATGGATCAATATTTGCTGGAGATTAAACTTATGGTTGATGCACTTGCAATGATTAATTCCCCCGTTACTAACCGAGAATTAATGGAATATGCCATTTTGGGGTTGGGTCGTGACTATGAATCGCTTATCACAACTATTTCATACTTTCCTGGGAATGCTACTCTTGAGTCCTTGCGGCCGATTCTCCAAGCACAGGAGCAACAACATGCTGTCATTCAGTCTCAGGACTCCTCCACTGTACATCAGGTTTTTGCGGCAGCACCTGCACCTCCTGGCCAAGGGGCTGCTCCTCGCGGCTATGGTGGCGGTGCACCTCGGGGACATGGTGGTCGCGGTAACCGAGGAGGCAGACCTCGGGGTGGCCGCGGGCGTGGAGGTCGTGGTCATTATCAGCAGTTTCAGTAGCAGTTTGGGGGATATCCGGCATATAGGCAGCCGGTTCCTCCTCCACGTGGTCCTCCATATCGTGGTGGCACAGGTTTTCCATCTGTTGAGAATTCATATTCATCACCTGCTCCGCCAATTGTGTGTCAACACTGCTTCTCTCCAGGTCATTCAACCATCATTTGTTCTCGTTTCACCGCACAAAATACTCCAGCATTTGTGGCCCTTCCCACTGGTGACACACATGATTCGGTCTGTTATCCTGATTCTGGGGCTTCAGCGCACATGACTCCTCATGAAGGTATGTTGTCTTTTAAAACTCCTTACACTGGCCCGAATCAAGTATGTGTTGCTAATGGTACAAAATTACCTATTTCTCATATTGGTCACGTTAAATTAATCACAAACGGTCGCCCGGTACAGCTTAACTCTGTTTTTCATGTCCCACACATTAAATATAATTTATTATCTATTCAAAAATTGTGTGCGGATAATTCTTGTCAAGTTGTTTTTGATAAAAACTCTTTTTATGTTAAGGACAATCAAACGGGGGAGCTTCTTCTTCAGGCCTATAATAAAGACTATGTCTATCCCTTTACTGCTTTTCAAGCCCGAGTTGTCCCTGGTCCAGTCTGGCACAAGCGTCTAGGGCATTGTGGTGATCGAGTGCTTAGTACTCTTAGGCAAAATAAACTGATTACTAGTTCTTCTACTTTTATTCATGATTGTGTTTCTTGTAAGTTGGTCAAGTCCCACATACTTCATTTTAATGACGCTACTCATGATACTACTGATCCTTTACAACTTATTCACTCTGATGTGTGGCAATCACCGGTTGTTTCCGATCTTGGTTTTAAATATTATGTGTTCTTTATTGATGATTTTTCTAGATATACCTCGATTTATCCTATGCATAGAAACTCTGAAGTTTTTACTCATTTCATTAACTTTCAAAAGCTAGTTGAATTTTTTTTAATATTAAAATCAAAGTTTTTCAGAGTGATGGTGGAGGTGAATTTGATAATTCTGTTTTTCGTCACCATTTTCTTAATTCAGGCATTTTATTTCGCAAATCATGTCCTAATACCCCTGCTCAAAATGGTGTAGCTGAACGCAAGCATAAGCATTTACTAGAATTAACTAGGACTTTATTAATCGATTCTTCTATTCCTAGTACTTTCTGGGTAGATGCTCTCTATACCGCCATGTTTATTGTTAACCGTTTGCCTACACCAATTTTGAATGGGGACACTGACGAGCACTTGTCGTGAGTGCGTCAAAATAAATTCAATACTAAACACTTATACGTAGTATAGTGTAGTAGAGTTCGTATCCGCAGGGAAAGGTATAATTCTCTTTCTATGAACTTAATGAATAACAAGGGGGGTTTTGGTTTGAGTGATTTAATTTAATTAAAAACTAAGATGAACAACCTATATGTGTTTAATTCAAGAATAAAAGGGACTTGACTTTGCTACTTTCCACTTGTTGATATATTTTAGTCGATCCTTGTTATATCTATAACTCATCCCCTCTCGAATACTCAATCGAGGAGTATCTCCAATTCATCGAGGGTAGTTATTAACAACGACCGTTCATTAATAACCCTTACTATTAATCAAATATAGAACAACGCCTTATACCGATATAATAGTAGCATTCAATCTTTTTAACTCCTTGATGAAATCAATTGAGATTGATAACCTTAACACAACGGTTTCGGTTTAACCAACAAAATTGATCCCTCTTAAGTCTATTAACCACGACCGTGCATTAATAAACCGAAGTTACTTAATTGTGAAACCACCAACGATCAACCATCGGTTCGTTGATCGTTTCTAGTAGTAATTAATGTCGGAACGTTAACTAATCGTCACTTAGCAACCCTCCAACATTAATATAGAATGAGATTAAGGGAAGAATTAATAATCAAGAGAAGAAGTTAAGAAAATAACTCACAACTTTAATAATCAACAAGCTTCAAGAGCAAAACCAAGAATGGAAGTTTAGCTCCTCATTTGGAGGCTAAACATAGCTAGAAAAATATAAAGAAATGCTATTCTAAACTGAGCTAGCGAGATTGGAAGAAGGGATGATGAAATGTGAAGGAAAATGGGGCTATTTATAGGTGTTTTCAACACCTAATGCCGGATACCCGGCCGGGTATTTTGACATACCCGACCGGGTATTTACCAAATCAAATATTTCCCCATGTTTTTGTGTCTTCTGCACGTTCTTTGATCCGAAATCACAGAATACCCGACCGGGTATATGGAATACCTGACCGGGTATTTGCTAGTTTTGCAGCAGTTTCCTTTGTCACTTCATACCCGGCCGGGTAAAGTCCATACCCGACCGGGTTTTGCACAAAACTCAGGTTTCTTCATCCTTTTTGCTTCCAAACCTATCCTAAACTTATAGCCAAACTAACTACAACTTACAACAAACAATAAAATGCTAGAAATACGATTACAATCAAATGCAAACTAACAACTATAAACTTGCACAAAACTAGTAAATAAACATTACAAACAATAATAAAAGTGTATACTTAGGCACTAACAACTAGTGCCTATCAAACACCCCCACACTTGAACTTTTACTCGTCTCGAGTAAAACAAATCATGTCCATGAAGTTTCCAAACCAACAATTGTAGCAATTACAATCATTCACAAGTGTTTTTGAAAATCAACATAAAAGAATGTTTCAATGATCAAAACACATGAATAAAAGGTCTTCACCATCATTGGGTTTCTCTTCTTTTGCTCCTTATGTGTACCCTTAGGATCCTGCAAATACAAAAGAAATACTTTCTCTCATTTTCTCATTTTGCCTAGGTGCCCTTTCGGGTTTTCATCCCAGCTTCCCACATTTTCCTTTTTAATTCTCCCCAACTCACTCTTCTTTTTTTGCTTTTATTTTGCTTAAGTTGCCCTTTTTGGATTTTCAACCTAACAAGCTTAAATTTTTTTTTATATAGCAAGAATAAAGAGTATGAAATGGGAGCATACCAGAATAATTCTCCCCCCAGCTAGTTAATGGCACTGCCCCTAGTGCCCGTCCGCATCTCCTCCATCAAAGAATCCACCCTGACCATAGTAGCTGTCGTGAAAATCGCCTGTATATGGGTATTCCTCATCGTTTGTGTCTGAGCTGCCGCCATATCCGCCATCACCACCTCTGAAATCCCTGTCAACACCATCACTGCCAGCTTGTCCACCTCCTCCGGAGCTAGATCCTCCGAAATTACCCCAATGTGAGGGGTCATACCATGTAGGATGTTGGACTGGAGTGGGCATGTGGGAAAAGTACCCTTGCTGGTCAAAATATGCATACATAGGCCCGAAGGCCCGTCTTTGATCGTCTTCCACCCTTTGGTACGCACTGTAGAGATCGTCAATGTGTGTGTTCATTGCCGTTTGGTTAAGATTGAGTTGTTGTATACCGGCCAGCATTTGTTGTTCAAAGGGGGTGTATTGAGGGGGTTGGGGATCGGGTTGTGGCTCTTCTTGTGGTTGTTCGGGGCTGGGTGGTGGCTCAAGTTGAGGAATGTCATAAAGATAGTGGTCAGGGGTAGTTCCGGGTAGGCACAGATGTCTCCTATCCCCGAGTTGATGGTTAAAGATGTTTGGAAGTTCATCGGAGGGGATTGTAAAAAGTTGTGTGGGTGAGGGGTTAATGGTCCAATGGTAAAATGCTGTGGTCCCAATGGTGTGGGAGTGACTCACGTCATGTGCAGTGAGTAGGAACTTAAGATTAAGGAAATTCCAATCTTGAACTTGTCTATTTGCACAATAGCCAAATTTGGTACATATATGATGTATGTACCCTCCTATGAAAATTTCACTCATAGCTTCACATTCCTTTTTTAAATGGTCCCACAAAATTGAAGCAAGATCTAATCTAGGAGCTTCTGGGAGGATACCCATAGCAAGAACGGCCAATTCACTAATCCTTGTTTGATGATTATTTGGCTTCCCAAAGACATGATACCCAAACCATTTTAGTGCGATTCGAAGGGCAGGGTGTTGAACATGTGTAATATGCATATGTGAAGATTTAAACACCCTAACCCCTGTCATTCTTCGCCACAAATCATGCACAATGGTCTTATCACTTCTTACCTTTCTTTCCTCCACACCTAAAACCGGTAGACCAAATAGCTCGGCAAACTCACGTTTCGTTAAAGTTCTTGGTATGTTGTTATACCGAAACGTGAGTTTGCTCTCATAGGTGTCCTCTATATCCTCAGTAAATTCAACCGATGCTAGGAACTCATACATAATTCTTTTGTAGATATTATAGGACATGTGGAACAATGTAGTAAGTCCTATGTTGTTGCACAATTCTAGCATCATATCATACAACATCAATGCTCGCAATGTTTCATGACAAAGAAATCGTGTAGAATGTACCTCTCGGTTGAGTTGGGTGAGGAATTTCTTGTGATGAGCCCTAGACGTGAATTCGATGCTTTCATACCCCGGAACTTGTGGAATTGGAGCACTTGAGTTGGAGGAAGATGCTCTAGTCCTTTTAGGTGCCATAGTTAACTTTTTCTTGGACTTTGGGGTTGGATTTTCGGACTTGGGGCTTGGTGGAGTGAAAAATGTGGACTTTTTGGGAATTGGGTGTTTTTGAGGGTGTGGAGGTGTAGAGAATGATGTGGGGAAGAAGAAATGAGGTTAGGTTTGGGTTAATTTGAGGGAAAATCGGACCTTGAGGATTTGGGTATAGGTTTTTTCGGATTTGGGGATTTTGGGGTGTTTGGGGTTTTTTGTGGGTGTAGAAATGGAGAGGATGATGTGGGGAAGAAGAAAATGGAGTTTATTTGGGATTTAGATGGATGATTGGAATGGATTGGAGCTTGAAAAGTTTGGCTATGGAGGTTTGGGGGATTTGTTGTTTGGGGAAGAAGAAGAAGATGGGGGGTTGGGGAAGGATTTTGGGTGAAAATCCCGTAAAAAGGGCTTGTTTCGCACAAATATCCGGCCGGGTATTCTATTTCCCGTAGGCAGAAGCCTTTTTGGCTAAATACCCGGTCGGGTTTTTGTAATACCCGGTCGGGTATTAGGCTATTTTTTTTATGCCCGGCCGGTTTTCTTGTAATACCCGAATGGATTTTTGTTTTTCTGGAAGGCAGAAAGTTTTTTAGCTGAATACCCGGTCGGGCATTTGTAATACCCGGTCGGGTATTAGGCTATTTTACACCGTTTTTAATTCTTTTGATGCCCGGCCGGTTTTTTGGCTGATACCCGAATGGGTACGCTTGACAGTAGCTCCCAGGGGTGAAAAAAAACCAAAACCCGGTCGGGTTGTCTACATACCCGGTCGGGTTTTTATTATTTTTTTTGGATTTTTCATTTTTACCCGGTGGATGGAATGGCCGGGTATTCTCCTTTTGTGCTGATACCCGACCGGGTTTGGGAATACCCGGGCGGGTTTTGCTCAAAATTATATATATTGTTTTTTTTTTTGAAAAGATTTTACACACACACACTCCACTAAAATAAAAAGAAGAAAAAAGGAAAAAAAAATATACCGTGCATGGGTTGCCTCCCAAGAAGCGCTTTATTTAACGTCGTGGCTCGACGATATCTTCTGTTGTTCCTCATTCGTAGACCGGTTCAGAAAGGTCTACGACTTCCACATTTTTGGGTTGAAAACCCTCAAAGAAGGGTTTTAATCTCTGTCCGTTCACTTTCAGCACCTCTCCCGTCTCCAGGTCCTGAATTTCCACCGCCCCGTGTGGATATGTTTTGACCACTTTGTATGGTCCGGTCCAACGGGATCTCAGCTTTCCCGGAAATAGACGAAGGCGTGATTGGAATAGGAGGACTTTTTCATCAAGTTTAAAGTGTTTTCGTATGATCATTTTATCATGCCACTCCTTCGTCATTCTTTTGTATATTTCTGCATTGTCATAAATATCCAGGCGAAGTTCTTCCAATTCTTGTAATTGGAGCTTCCTATGTACACCGGCCTCGTCAAGATTGAGGTTGAATTCTTTAACCGCCCAATAGGACTTGTGTTCGAGCTCTACAGGGAGATGACATGCTTTCCCAAACACAAGTCTATAAGGAGACATACCGATTGTGGTTTTGTAAGCAGTTCGGTATGCCCATAGCTCATCATCAATGCGTATACTCCAATCCTTCCTGTTCGGGTTCACTGTTTTCTGGAGTATAGATTTCAACTCCCTGTTTGAGGTCTCCGCTTGGCCATTTGTTTGAGGGTGGTAGGCTGTAGAAATTTTATGAGTCACACCATATTTTTTCAGTAGGGATCCCACAATTTTATTGCAAAAATGTGTGCCTCGATCGCTAATTAAAATTCGAGGGACCCCGAACCTTGAAAATATGTGTGATTTGAGAAAACTAGCCACCACCTTGGCATCATCAGTTTTTGTTGCTTTGGCCTCCACCCATTTGGAGACGTAGTCTACTGCAAGAAGGATGTATATGTTACCTTGGGAATTTGGGAATGGTCCCATGAAGTCGATACCCCATGCATCGAAAATCTCACAGAAAAGCATGGGGTTTTGTGGCATCTCATTCCTCCTGGAAATGTTGCCCGCTCTTTGGCAATTGTCACAAGATCGACAAAAGCCGTGTGCATCCCGAAATAGACTCGGCCACCAAAAACCGCTCTCAAGTATCTTCATTGTTGTTCGTTTCGGGCCGAAATGTCCTCCACAAGCATAAGAGTGACAAAACTCTATGATGTGGGCTATCTCATATTCAGGGATGCATCTTCGGATTATTTGATCCTTACAATGCTTCCACAAATATGGGTCATCCCACACATAGAGTCTTGAATCCATTCTTAATTTTTCTTTTTGAGATTTTGAGAGTTGTGGAGGAAATTTGCCGGAAACGAGGAAGTTCAAGATATTTGCGTACCATGGTTGTGTGACTTTGATGGAGAAGAGAGTTTCGTCCGGGAATTCTCCTTTGATGAGATTTGTGTGGAGGTCTTCGATGTCTTTGTGAGGGATGAGGCGGCTTAAATGATCAGCCACCAAATTCTCCGCTCCTTTCTAGTCTTTGATTTCCACATCAAACTCACTCAATAGAAGGACCCATCGAATGAGTCTTGGTTTGGCTTCTTTCTTTGTCATAAGGAATCGAAGAGCGGCATGGTTGGTGTAGACAATAACTTTTGTTCCAAGAAGGTAGGAACGAAACTTTTCCAAAGCAAAAACCACCGCTAGCATTTCCTTCTCGGTGGTGGAGTAGTTCCTTTGGGCTTCGTTGAGGGTTGATGAGGCGTAGTAGATGACATGGGAGGCTCTTCCAACTTTCTGGCCCAAAACAGCCCCCACCGCATAGTCACTTGCGTCGCACATGATCTCAAAAGGAAGAGACCAGTCGGGAGCCTGTATGATCGGGGCAGTCACCAATCTTGCTTTCAAAGTGTCAAAAGCCTCTTTGCATTCATCGTTTAGATTAAATTCCACCTCCTTTTGTAAAAATTTGCAAAGAGGAGATGAGATTTTTGAGAAATCCTTGATGAATCTCCTATAGAAACCGGCGTGACCGAGGAAAGAGCGGATGTTCCGTACATTTGTGGGGTACGGGAGCGTTTGAATCACATCGATCTTTGCTTTGTCCACCTCGATCCCCTTTGATGAGATCACATGCCCAAGAACAATCCCTTGTTCTACCATGAAGTGGCACTTTTCAGAGTTCACCACAAGGTTGGATTCAATGCAACTCTTTAGCACAAGAGTGAGGTGATATAGGCAAGAGTCAAAAGAGTCACCATGGATTGTGAAATCATCCATAAAGACCTCCATGAATACCTCCACAAATTCTGAAAAGATGCTCATCATGCACCTTTGAAAGGTGCCCGGTGCGTTGCATAATCCAAAGGGCATTCGTCGGTAGGCAAAAGTGCCAAATGGACATGTGAAGGTTGTTTTCTCTTGGTCCTCCGGGGCTATTGGTATTTGGAAATACCCGGAGTAACCATCGAGAAAACAATAGAACTTGTGCCCAGCTAACCTCTCTAGCATTTGATCAATAAAAGGCAATGGAAAGAAGTCTTTCCTAGTCACCGAATTGAGTCTTCGGTAGTCAATGCATACTCGCCACCCGTTTTGAACTCGGGTGGGCACCATCTCGCCATCCTTGTTTTCAATGACCGTCACTCCGGTCTTCTTTGGCACCACTTGAGTGGGACTCACCCACTTGCTATCGGAAATGGGGAAGATGATTCCCATTTGAAGCAATTTGATTACCTCCTTTTTCACCACCTCCATCATGGGTGGGTTCAATCTTCGTTGCGGTTGTCTCACCGCTTTGGCCTCATCTTCGAGCAAGATCCTGTGCATGCATGTGGATGGACTACTGCCTTTGATGTCGGCAATAGACCATCCAATGGCCAATTTATATTCCTTCAAGACCGCGATCAATCTTTCTTCTTGTTCTTGGGACAGGGAATTTGAAATAATCACCGGTAGGGTGCAATTTTCACCCAAGAACGCATGCTTCATATTTTCAGGGAGTGGTTTTAATTCCACCTCCGGTGCCTGCAAAACAGATGGTAGCGGCTTCTCGCTTGGAATGGTTAGCGGGAGGGCTTCAGAGCCCGGTGGCAAAAGTGGGAGTTGATTTAACTCCGCCACCATAATCTTCATGTTATTTGACATAGAGTATTCCAATGTAAAATCCTCTATGTCGTTTTCTATTGCGCTTAGTGCTTTATCCTTGCCCTCAATTTCAAATACATCTTGGACCCAAGTGTCGCAAGTGTCAATTGCAAATAGAGAGTGATTATCAGTGGGGTATTTCATGGAGTCGTAGATATTAAATTCGACTTTTTCACCATCGAACTCCATGGTTAACACTCCACTAATGTCATGCCCCGGACCGCATCCGAGCCACGTAGACAACCGCCGTACAACCCGATAAGAACAACAACAGTTCATCCCTATTGAGTTGTACAAGGCGTCCGATTTAGTGAAACACGGGCACGCAGGCCCCCAACTGTTTTAATGAAAATATTGTTCAAAATCCATGAGCGGTTTATACATTTGAAATAAGAATGGAAGCACGAACCACGTCTTCCTTCTCGATCAGTCACCCTAGGCAAAGGTGCAGGTAGTAGGACTCTAGCCTCAACCTGAAAAATGTGAGGGCCCCCGAAGGGGTCAGTACTCCATAGAAGTACTAGTGACAAGCAGACTATATGAAGAATAACTAATGTTTCAGACACGAGACCCAAAAATAGGGTGATATATACATATAGATGTCCCTCATCCACCCGATGATACATACTGTATATATACTCGTAAAATACTCAACCCGTAGGTCATTTACCTTAAAGAGTCTTTTAGAGATAAAGTTCTTGCCTGACTTTTCTCACTCCTTTCCCGGTTACCTAGCTCACAAGCTATAGTCTACCTTCGATTCATACTACCGAGTGTTTTAGGATCATTTACCGTCCAAGGCACTCAACCCATCCTGGAGTATTTAAGATCATTTACCGTCCAAGGGTACTCGGCCCCACCTGGAGTATTCTGGATCATTTACCGTCCAAGGGTACTCGACCCCACCTGGAGTATTCTGGATCATTTACCGTCCAAGGGTACTCGACCCCACCTGGAGTATTCTGGATCATTTACCGTCCAAGGGTACTCGACCCCACCTGGAGTATTCTGGATCATTTACCGTCCAAGGGTACTCGACCCCACCTGGAGTATTCTGGATCATTTACCGTCCAAGGGCACTCAATCCCCAGTCTATTCTCTACCAAATCCTAACCTGGATATGGCTAACCTTTCATTCCTTTAACTATGGACAATTCCTAGCCCTATAGTCATATAACAATCCTTAGGATCCAACGTGGGTGGGTCCCACCCGAACGGCCCACGTTAACCTACTCAAAACTGCCCGTTTTGAGCATAACCCAATACTCGATCGAGTATTAACCCATACTCGGTCGAGTACCGGAGACAGTAGTCCACAAAGCTGATTTTCAACAAATACCCGGTCGGGTATGTGTCAATACCCGATCGGGTATGGCAGTTGACTTGGCGGTCAACGCCCCTTTTGACCCCCCAAACGGAGTCCGATTAACTTGAAATTTTATACACATATACTTCTTGATGTCCTTGATTTAAAAATACCATTTTGGATCCCTGGATCATCACACAAAATATGTTATCACATTTTTAATCACCAAACCTACATAACATGCTTTTTAACTATGTTTTGTGTATAATCATAGCATAAACACACACTTGGTTATCTTTAATCATTCCACAAAACATATTCCTGATTACTTTAGGTAATCTCATGCCTCACGCAAAAGTTATAAAGCATAAAGCCGTCTTCTCACCTTAATGAAGCTTATGAAGTTCTAGCCTCCCCGATTTAGCTCCGACGAAACTCCGGCGAACTTCAACGAACTCCGGCGACAACTCCGGCGACCTTTTCAACTCCGTGAAAGTTCCTTGAATACCTTAGACAAGTTACTAACAAGGTTTTATCATCATAAAACCCATAGTAATACAAATAACCTCAAAAAGGTTATTTTCCGGCGAACCGGTCACTTTGGCTTCTAAGTCCGTTCTTGGACTTAGAACTACCTTCCAACCCCTCTTTCTACACTTCCCAACGTGTAGAACATTACTGGGGTGTGAAATATGATTGAATAATCATAAAAGAGTATTGAAGAACAAGAAATAGGAGTAATGGAGTCATTACCTTGTTAAACACAAGTTTTCCCACCTAAACTCCTCTTTTCTCTTCTCTTTTCCCTTTCTTCTTCCTCCCTTAACTTGGTGCGTGTATGATGGATGAAAATGGTTTATTTGCAGAGCTCCTCTCACTTGGTTGATGCTTGATACGAAATGGGGTGGGTTGGTATGATTGAGAATGCCTTCTTGGCATTTCTCACAATCATGGCATGTGGGAGGCCCTACTCCATTTAATGCCTTTCCCCTCAACCCCTTCTCTTTCCCCTCCCCCTTCTCTTTGTGCGGCTCCCTTGACATCTGCAGCACTAAAATCCGTGGGGTGGCCCCCACTCATGTGGGAGGTCATCCCTTTATGTCCCTAAGTGTAGAATCGGTCCCGAAAGTTGTATTTTCCGGACTGTTTTAAGTATATTTTATTTTATTGGGTCAAATAAAATATAACACTCGTTCCCAATCCTTATTGGGCCTTAGAATCATTATGAAATCCCCAACTTTAATTTATAGGTTCTCGGAATCCCTTTTTGGGCTGTTATCTGATAAATTGCCGATACCGATAATTTAGCCCGTTTGATCAACCGGTCACCCTTGTGCCATTGTCATGGCCCAATTAGGATATCCACCACCATATACATATTATCTAGTCCAAGATTAATATAATATGTGGTCCCGATAATATTGGGCGGCCCCACATCCGGTGTGGGCCCCACGTGAATTTTACTTATTCACGTAATAGAAATGATAAAAATTTACAATCACGTAAAAATGCTTTTATACATTTCTCAAGGTTCAATACATAATTTGGTACAGTACAAATACTCGGGGGCGGTGTTACAACTAAAGACGTCAATTTTTGTCTTAGCCGTTTTCAAAAAGGGTCGGCCTAGTAAAATTGGGACTGCATTTTTATCGTTCTCCATTTCAAGAACGTAAAAATCAGCGGGAAAGATTAAATTATCCACCATGACGAGAACATCCTCTACCACACCTTTTGGGTAGGCATTGGATCTATCGGCAAGTTGGATAACGACCCCCGTCTCATGTAAAGGTCCTAGTTCTAGGGACTTATATAGAGAATACGGGATGACATTGATTGATGCACCCAAATCTAACATAGCCCTAGAAGAACTAGAATTTCCAAGTTTACATGGTATAGTGAACATTCCCGAATCACTATACTTTTTAGGCAGTTTCTTTTGAAAAACGGCCGACACTCTTTCACTTACTTGGATTTTATGCTTGCCATTCAACTTGTGTTTCCTTTTAATTGTGCAAAGTTCTTTTAAAAATTTTACAAACCTAGGAACACCTTTTATTAAATTGAGAAGAGGAATATTTACCTCACATTTGTTGAAGGTCTCATAGATGTCTTTATCATTGTTGTATCTCCGGTTATCCTTGAGAGCCTCCGGAAAAGGTGGCACCGGCTCATATGAGTTGAGTGGTGGGAACTTTCTTTGAGGTGTGATTTCCTCCTCCTTTTCTTCTTCATTTTGAGGGTTTGTGCTTGGCATCAAGATCTCCTCCTCCTCTTCTCCCACATGGCTCTTTGCTTTCGCCTTAGCCATAACCAACTCTTTGCCACTTCTCAAAGTGACCGCATGAGCTTGTTGCCTCGGGTTCGGCTCCGTTTGAGATGGGAGTTTTGCCGAATCCCTAGCTTCTAGCCTACTCACGGAGTTTGAGATTTGGCTCATTTGGCTTTCCAAATTGTGGATGCTAGACTTTGTGGTTTCTTGAAATTGGGCCACACTTTGTTGCATCGTAGTCATATTCATGGCTAATGCTCGAATCATGTCTTCGGTGGACATGCTTGAGTTCGATGTTTGGCCTTGTTGTTTAAATTGTTGAGGAGGGGGAGGGTTTGTTTGTTGAGGGGGTTGAGGGTTTCCGTACCTTAGATTTGGATGATCCCTCCATCCTGGATTGTAGGTGTTGCCGTGAGGGTCGTACCTCCTTTGGCCTTGGAACCCCAAAGCATTGACTTGCTCGGAGTTCTCCTCTTGTAAAGTTGGGCAAGAATCTGTGGGATGCCCTTGTGTTGAACAGATGCTGCAGACCTTGACTTCTTGGGTTTTTGGATTCAAAAGGAAATCTTTAACCAAAGAAGTCAAGCCGGCTACTTGACTCTCCAACGAGTTGTTGGATTCCGCTGCCATAACTCTCTTTGTTGACCGCCGATCATAGTGTCTACAATTTTCGGCCAACTCCGAGATAAGATTCCTAGCTTGAGAAGGAGTTTTGTTGACTATTCCTCTTCCACATGCAGCATTGATCATCCGTCTATCATCATCGCAAAGACCATCATAAAAGTAAAGGATGAGGTCTTGCTCCGAGTAGCCGTGATACGGACAGCTCGCACAGAGTTTCTTGAATCGTTCCCAGAATTCGTAGAACGATTCATCATCTTTTTGCTCCACATTGCTGATTTGTTTCTTTAAAGATGAGGAGATGGAGGCGTGATAATACCTTTCGAGGAAGCTCTTCTTCATGGCTGCCCAAGTGTCTATGCTTCCCGAGGGAAGATAGAATAGCCAATCTTTGGCGGTGTCTTTGAGGGAGAATGGGAAAGCCCTCAACTTAATTTGCTCCTCGGTAACACCGTTCGGGCACATGCTTGTGCAAACGATGTGGAACTCCGAAAGATGTTTATTCGGATCCTCTCCTCTTAGCCCGTGGAAAGATGGAAGTAGATGTATGAGTCCGGATTTCAACTCAAATGTAGCACCCGCATCAAGAGTTGGGAAGGTGATACATAAGGGTTGTTGATTTAGATTGGGGGCTGTGAGCTCCCTTAGCGTTCTTGTTTCAAGAGCCATTGATATTGACTCCTCGGACTCGCTAGATTGAGAACTAGCACTTGAGGATTCCCCCGAGTCGGTATTTGAGAATTTATTCTTTAACCGCTCGAGAGCTTTTTCTATTTCGGGGTTTGTTTGGTAGGTGAGTTGGTTTATGGATCGGGTTTTTACCATATACTCAAACAAAGCTCAGCAAAAATAGAAAACTTTATATATTATTTTTTTTTTGGATTTTTCTTTGAAATAAAATAAAAAGAAAAATTAATTGCCTTTCCCCGGCAACGGCGCCAAATTTGACGAGCACTTGTCGTGAGTGCGTCAAAATAAATTCAATACTAAACACTTATACGTAGTATAGTGTAGTAGAGTTCGTATCCGCAGGGAAAGGTATAATTCTCTTTCTATGAACTTAATGAATAACAAGGGGGG